TATATATATACTGTATATGCAAATAGCAAATAGAAAGATATTGATAATCCTAATTGACTTAAAATGGGAAAAGTTTATTTTCATTTCATGTCAGTGTGAAAAAAATGCATATGTACGTATAACCAAAAGTTAACATCTCCACACATTGCCACACACCTACTGTCTGAACAAGTTAAAACATGTAGTAATCGCAGCTCTTCCACCATTCAGTTTGACATTTGCTCACACTGCAAAACATCACTGAAATGTGTGTACCCATTGCAACTACACAAGCCGTACCCTGTGGCTGTAGTTAAAAGCCTCCAAAATGGGTTAATTTGCACATTTGAAGAGCTTGTTTTTTTCTACATTCATTATTATTTTAAGTAAAACTGAGTCAGAGCAGCAGCGAAGGTAAAAGCAGAGCTGTACACATGATGAAAGCTCCGGCCTGACTGGTGTTTCTGATAGATGAGCAGACCATGAAGATGCTTTTGATGTGACCCAGTGACTCCTGCTACCAGGCAGATCTAACACCAATTTGGCTCACAGGTGTTCTATGCTAAAGGCATACAGCTGTTTCCTCTATTATTACCTTGTCAGCTAGGCTGTAGGGCTCATTAGGATGAGCGTTTTGCTCGTAAGTGCTCATTTTGACAGTGATCAAAGCCTGTTGGCTGCTGAGGGTTTGACAGCTTTAATTTTTCAGAGGCCGGTAACTGATGTTTTTGTTTAGGATCCGGCCCAAACATCCGCGCATGATTAAAAAAAATCTGATTTTTGGGTAATAACAGACTTGGTTTGGATTAGAGGGGTTAAGTGCTTCCCATACCTGTTGTATTACATATAGCACAGAACCATAAAGCACAACTAAGTTTCATCGCATTACATCTCTTTTAATGTCAAACGTTTAGATTTTTTTTCCCACAAGAGAAAAAATTAAACGAGACAGGAACATCTGTATCATGCAGTAGGCTTGTATTCTCTTTTTTAAAAATTAAAACAATTAAAATCATGTGCAACTTTAGGTTGTCACAAACTCAATACCATAACAGCTATTTTACAAAAGACCAAGTATGTATTCATTTCCAGCTGTCTCAGGATGTTTCATATCTTTCATCAACCACCATGCATGACTAAATAATTCCTGTTTCAGTCTCTTATACGTGTTGGTTTCTAAAAACAGTAAAAAATAATTTGTACACATTTAAAAAGTCACTTCAAGTTAGCCATATGGGTGTTATGGTTTACAAAGTTCAACAGTCAGCGAAGCTAAGAACCAGACCAGGAGACAGAAATTAAGTGCTCTTTATTTACAGGTGCAGGATAGCGGGTCATCAGCTGAAAGGGAATGAGGAGATGAGGTGAGTACTTTTAAGGGTTTTGTTTTTTAAGAGATGAATATAAATTAAAGTGTTTCTTTTCTTTACAGGTCTTCTGGAAGCGAGCAGCACAGAACAGAGGAGGACTCCAAAAACACAGGTAAGTTCCTTTTTAGGCAGCGTGGAGGTGTTTGAGGCATTTGGCTTTGGCAGGAGGTAAAGATTGTCAAACCTGATTGGAAGTCTCTTTCTTTACAGGCAAAGGGAGAGAAACCATCAGCGAGGTAAATCCACCTTAGAAAACAGGATATGAAGGTAAGTACAAGACCTAAAACTTAGAAACTGAGTGTGGCTTGAACACTACCAGAATGGTAAGATGTATCAAGTGAAGATCTTCTTCTTCTTCTTCTTCTTCTTGTTTAATGGCGGTTGGCAAGCAACTTATTGGTGTGCATTACCGCCACCTACTGGTAAGGAGTGTGGATCAGAATGCAACTTAAAAAAAAAACTAAATCCTTTCTATCAGTTTAGTTTTCTTAAGAAAGCTTATTAAATAACGTAAATATTCAGAACAAGTGAAGATCTGACAGTCAGGATGCCTTATAAAACCCCAGTGGCTCATTAGGAGAATCTTCCTCAGGTGTGCAGAGGTGCAGGAGACAATGAGGCAGCCAATCAGCAAACAAGAACACCAAAAAGCCAATCATAACAATGGGCCTCATGCAAGAACCGTTCGTACACACAGATTTGTTCTTAAGTTGTGCGTACGAGTGATTTAGGAGAATTTGTGGCATTCACCAATG